CATATACAACGACAAATCAACATTCATATCAGCACTCATTCATTCATTTTGGCACACAGGATTCACACTATATTTTATACTTTACCGTCTCCATTAAATATTTCAGCCTACATGCCTCAGCATAACTGCCCTACTTTCACAATCAATCACATAGCTACTTAGTATTCTACCTTAGGTTTTGTCCCTACATCAACTCAATATCAGCTAAAATGAACTTATACACATAAAGGTCTAAACATTTAGTGAACGAAAAAGGCCAGCTTAGGTAAGCTCCCCTAACCTAGAACGAGATCTCTCAAATCGAAGCTTTTATGAATTTTTAAGAGAAAATAAAGCTCCAGGTCCTCAAATATTCCTATTACCATGAAATAGAGACCCTTGAGAAAAGAAATCAAGAAAAGAGGGATGAAACAGAGAAACCAAACCCTAAACTCACCTAGATTTGCACTAGGTAAAGGTTCTCACTTAGATTTGGGAGAAGCTTGGCCTTAAGATGATTTTCTTTGAGTGAAGAGGGTGAGTGAAGAAAGGGGAAGAGGAAACAATGGTTTGGTGAGAAATGAAGGTTTTCAGCTCAAAACCCCCTTAAATATCCCTTAGTTCGTGATACTCTCGCTACAACAAGCATCTCTCGTTACAGTGAGATATACCAGACAGTGGAACCCTTTTCTGTCTGTCATTTATAGCAAGATATCTTGCAACTCAACATCAACTAAAATCCTCTAATGCACACACAACATGCATTAAACCTTTACATATCAACCACACAACTTATGCATACATATTTTCAAGTCATTTCATACCACCACCATTATACAACATCACACCCAACACATAGAGACGTCATAGTTAAATGAACACATCATTAACTCTAAAAAAAATAGGTATGCACCCAACATAGGCCTGACAATTTGCTCAACTGCACAAAAATTCATACTCATCACAATGTTTGCATAGATTATTCTTTTCTTTTTTACTTTACTTTTTTGTATTTTCCAAGGAAATAAAAGTATATAATAAATTAAATATTTATATATTTAAAACAAGATATTTCACTTTAAAGATTGTAAGGTCTTATTCACAAGTGACAGAAGGTAGTGTGTAGGTTAAAGGAAGTGACAATTCAATGTAGCTACAATGTTTGTATTTATCTCCTCTCACTGTTCATCAATATTCACCCATTGACAAATAAAAAAAATGATTGAATGGAATTAAAAATAAATACATGCTTAGTTTAGTGTTGTGTTGTAATACCATAAATGATTTTGCTTCTTTTTTTTCAATGTAGAAAAATAACTTGTAAATCATCCTTTTTCACTTATATTACTATAATTATTGAAGGTTGGATGATTGGAGGATAATAAAAAATTTGATATTGTCCTAAATCCTTTCTTAAATGATATGTATTATTCCTGGTGTATGTTTTTTGAAATTATTTGATAAGATTTTTAATTATTATAAATTTGTTCTTACCTCTATATTGGATGAGCTCTAGTGAATTTTTCAATAAGGCTTTTCACAGTCAAGTCAATGAATCTTATGCTAATGTGATTTAGTTTGTCGATTAAGGAGGCTAAGAACAACTAGAAAATTTGGTAGAACCTTCTATAATTATCTTTGGTGGAATAAACCAAACTCTTGCAACTCTTTTTGTGTCAACAAATTAATAAATCTATATTTTGAAGTATTTTTATAACTTATTTTTATAAATTTGACCCTTATTTAATAGAGATTTTACACTGATTTACTCATTAATTATTGTAGTTTGACGTGAATCAATTATCAGTTACTTACAAAAACATTTTGGCTATCATTAGAAGAAATTAGATAAAAGCAGAGTCACGAACAACAAGAAACATGACCTAGCTTAAAAGCCAACTTACAAGTGCTTCATGACCAAACACGACTGTGCTTATAGGCATGCATGTTCATGCTTATTCTTTGGTGTAACTGATTTGGAGATTTTCTAGAGATAGAGAATCTTATATAAAAACAATTTTGGACTTGGAGACACTTTTTTCTAGCCAACTTTTGACAATTTTTAGAGCCATTTGGGAGTGGAAATCATTGGTGAAGATAAATGATACATTTTTGGAATTTGAGCAAGTCATAGATAGTTCTTTTTAGAGAGAATAACTCTTCTCATCTCTTTTCCCTTGAGATTCTTTGCATAATTTTTATGAACTTGTAGTTTAATCACAATTATCATTTCCTTTTTATATTGCTTTTGCGCTAATGTGTTTATATCTATATGTTTGGAATTGATCAATCTTAACTATCATAATTGATTGCATTGTAGGCAATCATGTAACACCATCTTTCCATTATTCAGTAAATTATGTTTAGTTTAATATTAAGTAGTATTAGAATACATTTGGAAGTGAGTATAGAGGATTTTGGAAGAATTCTGGTGCAGGGGGTCTCACTCAGGCGAGGCAAATCTCGCTCAAGTGAGACTGAGCGTCCAAAAATATGATGTTTTAGGGCAATCTCGCTCAGGCGAGATGATTCTCACTTAGGCGAGATGATTCTCGCTTAAGCGAAATAGGATAAATTCAGCCCAACTGTCATCTCACCCAGGTGAGAGTGATATCGCTTAAGCGAGATGAGATTTCACTTAAGCGAGATGGGTCGCTCAGGCGAGGATTCACAGGAGAAACATTATGCTCTCTAGGCGCCATCTTGCTCAAGCAAGATAGAGCTCGCTCAAGCGAGCATATTAGAAAATATTAGGTGAGACCACTGTCTGCATATCTCGCTCAGGCAAGATATCCGTTGCTCAAGCAAGATGTTTGTCGCTCAAGCAATAACGCGTGGGGCTAAGGGGTATTTAACAGATTTCCAGCATGAAAATTTCATTTCATTCAAAACTCACGTTCTCTTCTCATTCTTATCTGAACCCTCTCTTCTATTCTCCAAAGAGAAGCCTAAAAAACTATGATTTCTCTTCAAATTTGAGCTTGGACGTTGAGTCTAAACGATTCTAAGTAAGTTTCTATGAATAAAACTTTGTTTTTCTGATCATTTTTATGATTTTGTTCCTTATGGATATCTCTTGGTATTCAGGAGAAATTCCATAGTTGATCTCTGATCTTCTTCAATATCTCTTTGTAAACTTGTCTTTGAGGTAAGGAGGGCTCTATTTTATCATTCTATTTTAGTATATATTTTGTGCTCATTAGAGCATTGTTATATGGACATTTCATAAAAATATGTGATTGAAATATCTATTGTGTGAATAATGGATGAAAAGATGTTTGTTTGATTGTTTGGACTGAATGGTTGTTACATGCTTAATGCATTATACGATGAGTACTTAATACGAAATATTATTAAACTTGCTAAGTGATTCTGATTTTATTTCATGGAATATGTTTGGATAAAATGCTATGATAAAGTGTGATACTGATATGAAGAATTTAGTAACTGAAACTATGCTAAAAAAGAAAAAAAGTATAGGTGAAATGGACTTAGTCTGGAAGTACTTTATTAACCACGATCTTGTGAGTGAAGGAGGAAATGATTTCGGAATGACCATAAGTGTGGAATATGGATTTGAATCTAGTTGAATAGTTACAGAGATACACTCGGGGTATAGAGTCCGGAGACGATGAGAAATCTGGGGAAAATGTAGGGTGGTGAGTGACATTCGCGAATGTGTACACACTCTTTTTGAGAGTGAATGTGCCACTTGGCCTCACACTCATTTCCTGACTAGACTGCTGAGTAGAATAGACGCTTATCCTTACTGATATTTTTAGGAAAACAAGATGACAAAGCCTTAGAAAAGAGTTAGGTTAATAGATAGCTCATTACATAATAAGCTTAATTATGTGTTTAATGAATATCAAAGAGTATGTTATTTTAAATTTGTTGTTCTTGTGGAAGATGAACCTAGGACTTTTGTTATGTTAGAGATGTATTTCTTTTATAGTATCCCTTTTGATTTTCCTAGGAATAGAATTCATCAGACCCTATATATCTATATGTATAGTGGTATTGTTAGAACTCCAACAGCCCTCACTTATCTATTTATCTATCACGATCACGACTATCTTAAAAGACCGTCTAGATGGACCTTTGAGTAAGTGACTGATACAGAGGTCACAAGTGATTCAAGCGATCGCTATCTTAGATCAGACGATGACCTTAATTCTGAAGATCTGGCAGAGATAGAAAGCGGGCATAGAATCAACTAGTAGCATAGATTCTTAGTGTTAGGATAGATTTTGGGGATTGCTCTAGGACTTAAATTTGCTTATGTAATTATTTTGGTAATGTAAATATTATTTTAAGTCCCATATATTTTGACAAATATTTTGTAAATTGTTATACTTGATATAAGAAATGCATGTTCAGTTTCTCAAATTAGAAATTTGACTATGGTTTATTACAGTCTTTAAAAGTGTTGTTGTTCCATTAAGACTGCACGTATAGGAAAGTTTTGTTTACAACAAACCCATTAATAAAGTGACTTTTATCAACTTGTTATAATCAGATTTCTTGTATAAGTAAATGGTATTTTTATCCTAATTGATAATAAAGAATAACTTTTTCGTATTTTAAAATTTTAGTGTGTTACAATTTGGTATCATAGTAGTTCATCCAAACCAGCCTAGGGTATGGGATTAGTTCATCGATGTGGTGTGATATGTGTTATTGTTTAGGAATTGTTTGTTAATAAAACCTAGTGGTTGTAAATTGTTTGACTTGTTTGAGCTTAATGTTAAATGTGTTAGAATAAAAGTTGATGTGTGAAATTTAATTTTTCTGGAATTAGAACTATGGTTGGTAGAGGTAGACCTGCTGGTGCCATGAATGAGATTCTGGCCCGTATGACGCAAGTCTTTGAAACCTTAATACATAACCAAGATGTGGAGCCAGCGGAGTATCGTGGACTTTCCTTGTTCACGAAACATAACCCTCCAATGTTCGAAGGAAAATTTGACCTAGAAGGTGCTTAGAGATCGATAGCAGATATAGAGAAAATCTTCAATGTGATGGGATGTCGTGAGGAGCATAAGTTGGTTTATGCCACCTATACGTTGGGAGGAGAAGTAGAGGACTGGTGGAGGTTTGCCAGTCAAACTCTGCCACAAGAAGAAGGGTACATTCACTGGAAAGCTTTTAAGGCATGTTTCTTAGGATACTATTTCCCTAGAGACTTAAAGAAACAAAAGGCCTGGGAATTCATTGAGTTGAAGCAAGGAAATATGTCTGTGGAGAAATATGCTGCGAAATTCCATGAGGTCTTGAAGTATTGGCCACATTTTCAGCATAAAGATGGAGATGAAGATCTATGAGCCCAGTTTGAGAATAGGCTATGGCCGGAGATACGAGCAACAATTAATGTATTCTAGCTGACTGATTTTCCAACCTTGATAAGCAAATGCCGAATCTTTGAGGCCAATTCCAAAGGCAAGACCATAGATAGCCAGATTGGAGGACTAGTGAGACAAGACCCAAGGCTTCCAAGGTTTCCTAAAGGGCCTTACTCTAGTGCTAATCAGTCTCAGTCAAGGGGGACTGCATTTCGTGGAGGTAGTAGTAGTGGTTCTAATCTTTCAAGAGGACTGTTGAGATATTTTAGATGTGGAGGACCTCATATGGTGAGAAATTGCTCCCAGCCACCATCAACTTATGGTATTTGTGGGAAGACGAGGCACTCAGCGAATAACTGTTGGTTAGCTTCTCAACAGAGTAGGAGTGTAAGTGGAAGCAACAGACCTACATCCAGAGCAAGTAGTGGAATGAAACCGAATGTGCAAGGCAAGGTTTTTGCCATGAGTAGATCTAAGGCGTTCAAGTTTGATGAATTGATTAGAGGTAAATGCATCATTAATGTTAGACTTTGTGATGTCTTGTTTGATTCTGGTGCCACGTATTTCTTTATTTCTATGGATTATGTGAACTGTGTTGGGTTACCAATATCTTCCCTTGCATGTAATGTTGTTGTGTCCACTTCTACAGCTAAGTCTGTTGTAACTTCTTCTGTATGCTTAGGCTGCTCTGTAATGGTTCATAGTAGGAATTTTTGTATAGACTTAATCTGTTTACCGCTTTCTCAACTTGATGTTGTTTTGAGCATGGATTGGCTATCATCCAATCGTGTTCTGTTAGATTGTAAGGAGAAAGTTTTAATTTTTGATGATGATACACTGGGAAACTCTAAACTCCTAAGTATGAGTGAAGCGAGAAACACAGTTGAAACTAAGGCTTTCATGGTATTGTTCTCTGCTGAGATTGATAAGACCATGAAAGCTGAGTATATTCCAATATTGCAAGATTTTCTGGAGGTTTTTCCAGAAGATGTAACAAAATAGCCACCAGAAAGAGAAATCAAGTTCACTATTGATCTGATTTTGGGAGCAAGCCCAATATCGATTGCACTATACCGAATGTCACTAGTGGAGTTAGCTGAAGTGAAAAAGCAAGTGGAAAATCTATTGCAAAGGCAATTTGTAAGGCCAAGTGTGTCGCTGTGGGGAGCGCTAGTACTTTTGGTGAAAAAGAAGGATGGAAGTATGAAAATGTGTGTTGATTATCGTTAGTTGAATAAAGTGACAATTAAGAATAAGTGCCCTATTCCTAAGATCGATGATATGATGGATCAGTTATGAGGAGCTTCAGTGTTTTCAAAAATTGATTTGCGATCAGATTATCATCAAATCCAAGTAAAGAAGGAAGATATCCCCAAGACAGCTTTTAGGACCCGCTGTGGTCATTATGAATATTTGGTAATGCCATTTGGTGTGACTAATGCTCCAGCAGTGTTAATGGACTATATGAACCAAGTTTTTCATGAATTCTTGGATCGATTTATAGTAGTGTTTATTGACGATATTCTAATCTCTTCCAAGACTCCTGAGGAGCTGCTGAGTATTTAAGAATTGTCTTGCAAATACTGAGTTAAAGGCAGCTGTATGCAAAATTGTCAAAGTGTGAATTCTGTCTTCCACAAATATAATTCTTGGGACATGTTGTGTCAAAGGAAAGAATTATGGTCGACCCAGCAAAAATATAAGCAGTAGCTCAATAGTCGAGACCTACAATTCCAACCGAAATTAGAAGTTTCCTTGGACTGGCTGGCTATTATAGAAAATTCTTTGAGAGATTTTCTAAAATAGCGTTGCCTTTAACAAAATTGACAAGGAAAGGAAAAGACTTCGAGTAGAATGAAGAATGTGAAGCTAGTTTTCAGAATCTAAAGGAAAAGCTAACATCGGCACAAGTGTTGATATTGCTAGACCTAGAGCAAAAGTTTGAAGTATATTGTGATGCTTCAGGACAAGGATTGGGAAGTGTTCTAATGCAATCTGGGAGAGTAGTTGCCTATGCTTCAAGACAACTTCGACCACATGAAGTTAATTACCCTACACATGATCTAAAGTTAGCAGCAGTGGTATTTGCATTGAAAATCTGGAGGCATTACCTATTCAGATCGAGATTTGAAGTATTCAGTGATCACAAAAGTCTGAAATATTTGTTTGATCAGAAAGAATTAAACATGAGGCAGAGGCGATGGATGGAGTTTCTCAAAGATTATGACTTCATATTATCTTATCATCTTGAAAAGGCAAACATTGTAGCAAACACGCTGAGCAAAAAATCCTTACACATTTATGCAATGATGATAAAAGAGTGGAAATTGATTGAAGAATTTAGAGACTTGAATTTGAAGGTAGAAGTGCGACCCAAAAGCTTATACATGGGTACCTTGAAAGTTAGTAACGATTTCTTGATACAAGTCCAGAATGCTCAATTGGAAGATCCATATTTGCAAGATATGGCGTAGTCAAAGGATGAAAGTAAGGGCTTAGAGTTTCATTGTGACTCAAGCAGTCAAATGATATTGGAAGAGGCATATAAGAGTAAGTTGAGTTTCCATCCCTGAGCAATGAAAATGTATCACAATTTGCAAAGAAATAGATAGCGGAGTATGTTGCAAAGTGTTTAACATGCCGAAAATCAAAGGCAGAACATCACCATACAAATGGAAATGGGATAGTATCTCCATGGACTTTGTATTTGCACTGCCAAGAACAAAGAGAAATCAGTGGGTGATTGTAGACTGCTTAACAAAGACTGCACGTTTCATTCCGATTAACATGAAGTATAAACTAGAGAAGTTAGCGGAACTGTACATCAATGAGATAGTTAGATTGCATGGGGTATCCTTAAGTATCGTATCAGATCGAGACCCAAGGTTTATATCAAAGTTCTAGGAGAGTTTGCAAGAAGCCTTGGGAACTAAGTTAAAGCTTAGCTCATCATATCATCTTCAAACTTATAGACAAATGAAGCGCATTATTCAATCACTGGAAGATTTATTGCGAGCTTGTGTGATGGAGTAACAAGGGGTGTGGGATGAATGTCTACCTTTGGTAGAATTCACATATAATAATAGTTATCATGTAAGCATCGGAATGACACCATATGAAGCATTATACAGAAGGAAGTGTCGAACTCTTTTATGTTGGTATGAAGTAGGAGAAACAATTCTATAAGGGCTTGATTTAGTGCAGAAACAGAATGATCAAGTGAAGATGATTAGAGCAAAGATAAAGGTAGCCTAAGATAGACAGAAAAGCTATCATGATCCGCGAAGGAAGCTATTAGAATTTCAAGTTGACGATCATGTGTTCTTCAGAGTTTTACCCATTACTGGAGTTGGTAGGGCATTGAAATCCCGAAAACTATCTCCCAAATTCATTGGACCATTCAAAATTCTGAGTAGAGGTGGTCCTGAAGCCTATCATATTGCCTTATCATGTTGGTGGCATTGGTCATTCAACAGAGAATGGTAGGGCATTAAAGTTCAAAGTACAAGATTTAATGAATGCCAAATGGCTGAATTTCAAAGAGGATAATCCTAACATTAGGAGTAATTCCCTACCCGGGCATGAAGGATCATCGGTAAATGCCATAAAGGAAGAGTCCACCCACGTTTTAAAGAAAAAAGTTGAAGAGGTTAAAACTCCTCTAAAGGTTATTTTTATTGAGTTGTGCAAAGCTAACTTAATTAAAGGTTTCATTCATGAAGAAAATACAATCGATTTGCACATTAATGCAAATCAATCCATTGAAGATTGTTAAGAATTCAAGCATATTCTGCAAACCCTGATGAATAAACATTTGGTCCAAATCGGGCATCTTAAAGAGAAAAATGAAGTTTTGACTGTTGATGGGCAATCCTCAACTATTCTGAAACCTTTGGTCATCCATTACACCAAATGTGTAAATATCCCAACTACCAATGGACCCAAACCCATCACTATACAAATACCGACACCATTTTCTTACATGTACAACAAAGCAGTACCTTGGAATTACAATGCAAGAGTTTATGTTGGCAATATGAAGGAAAGTCAAACAGAAGGTATTGATTCTAGTACTCTTTCCATCTCAAATATTGCTGGTGTTGGTGGAATGACCCGCAGTGGTCGTATTTATACACCTGAAGAGCTGAGAAAAGAGCAAACAATAGAGATAGAGAGATCCTCAAAGGGGAAAGCTAAATTAGGCGAGTTTGAAGATGCTGACGAAGGGAAAATGCTTGAAATAAAGAAGATGGTGACTGATGAAGAAGCTTGCGAGTTTTTAAAGTTCATCCCGTCAAAGTGAGTATCAAGTCGTGGAACAGTTAAACAGAACTCCAACCAGGATATGTCTTTTATCCCTGTTACTAAACTCTGAGCCACATAGGAGGACTTTTTTGAAGGTGTTAAATGAGGCTTATGTTAGCCATGATATCACTATCGACAAATTTGGAGGCATTGTTGGTAATATTGTTTCAAACAATTATTTCACATTCACTAATGATGAGGTACCTGTCAAAGGAATGTGGCACAATAAAGCACTGCATATTTATGTGAAATGTCAAGATCACATTATCGCTAGAGTGCTTATTGATAATGGGTCTTCTTTGAATGTGATACCAAAAGCAACATTGTCAAAATTACCTTGTGATGGGTCGTATATGAAACCTAGTGCTTGATAATAAGTGCCTTTGATGGAACAAGGAGAGAGGTTATTGGAGAAATTGAAATCCCAATTCAAATTGGTCCTTGCATTTTTCAAATTTTGTTTCAATTACACCAGCTTACAGCTGCCTTTTGGGGAGGCCTTGGATTCATTCTGCTCGAGTTGTACCATCCACATTGCATAAGAAATTGAAGTTTATATAATAAATTGGTGATTGTCTCTGGTGAAGAAGATGTGCTAGTGAGTAAGCCTTCATCCACTCCTTACATTGAAGCTGCTGAAAAAGCTCTAAAGACTTCTTTTCAGGCTGTAGAGATTGCGAATGCTACTTATGTTGGAGAGGAAGCCCCAATCGTAAAGCCTCAATTGTCTAATACATCCATAATGACAGCTAAAGTCATCCTAGAGGGAGGTTGTCAATATGAATTTGGGACAAGACAAACCACCACGAAAGCACCAAAATGGTTACAACTCTATGAGAATAAGGATAGGTTTGGGTTGGGGTACATACCCACTAAGGCTGATAAGAAAAGAGTCATAGAGGAGAAGAAAGAAGATTAGCTAGGTTGGGGGGTAGAGAGCCTAAAAGTGAAGGAGTCCCCATTTGTGATCTTCTGAAGAGCTTCTATAGTGTTGGATTTGAGTTTTAAGACTCAATGGCTGTTGTTGATGAAGATGTACCTAGAGAAGAGGTTATGAACCTAGTTCCCACTTGTCAGCTGAACACTGAAGTTGGCAATTGGGAGATCATCGAGTTACCTGTGATTTTTAATGGCTATTCAAAGTAATCATCGAAGCTAATCCCATTGTTTTGTCCCAAAGTTTTAGGATATCATTACTTTTTGAAAAGACTGATATATGGTTTTTTTTTGTAATTTGGAATATCAATTTGTTTTGTAAGTTGGGAGACATGTTTCATTTTAAGTATATTTTTTTAAATGAAATGCAATTTGAATTCTCAGTAACATTTCATATCTTCTTTCTTTATAGCTTGAATCTTCTCGTTTATTTTCTTTTTGTCTCAACTCTCACACAATGAAGATCTAAAAGTGACATGTCTGAAAGTAACAATGCTAATATTTCATCCACTAATTTTGATTGTCCCATTAATCAAGCTGTCAAAGATGTTAGTGATGGTGATTTATCCTTATAATTTCAAAGATTAGTTGATCAAGAAGTGAAAGAGATCTAATCTCATGAAGAACCCACTGAGGTGATTAATTTAGGGACTGAAGATAATAAGAGAGAAATCAAAATAGGCACCCTCATGAAAAAGCAAGAGTACGACAAGTTAATTAAACTCTTGCATGATTATAATAATGTCTTCGTATGGTCATAT